CCTTCAGGTTGTTGAGAGTTCCGGGGACCCTCGGGCAGCATCCTTCTCTTCTCCTATGAGCACCTACTGGTGGCTGGGCAGCCCTCAGGGCCTCTCAGTCCATCTCTGTGAGGCAGTGGGAATCATAAGGACAGGTCTGGTCCTAACCCAGCTCTGGAGCTTGTTCTGAACCATAAAGACACCACTGTAACAGTTCCTTGTGTCGTGTTGTGTTGAGAAGTTGCTTGTTTCCCACCTGACCCCGAGTTGTTCTCCTAGACTACATAGCTCAGTGCGCCATTTCCATCCCTGCCCCTTGCCTGCCCAGGAGTCCCGTGCTGTTTGCTGTGCGGCCTGCACTCTGCAGTGCAGTCTCTTTAACACTGCTGTGGTCTAGGGCTGTGAGAATTTGGTTCCTACCTTCAGAGACTGTCATCAGAGACGGGCCACAGTCAGAGCTGGGGCATAGCTCAGTTGATAGAACGTCTGCCCAGCCTGCTAGAGGCCCTGCAGAAGGGTGGAGACAAAACGCTTTCCCCAAGACTGCACTGGATAAATGCAGATCTCCACTCTCCAGCCTCACTCAGGCTGCCGGCAGGGAGTGGGATGGAGACAGCTCCTAGCCAAGGCTCTGGTCACCAGCATTCAGAAACAGCCCAAAGTGCTAAGCAGGCTGGTAGATTTAGGGAATGCCTTTGTGCTGACAGTGATGGTTCTCCAGGCTGCCTGCTCCACTCAGCCCCTTGGCTGTAGCTGCATAGTGCTGCTGCAGCCCGGAGGTCTAGAAGCTCCTGGTGTGTCCCTGTAGAGTCAGTGGTGGCAAGATGAACTTGTGTCTGCCAGAACATTAGGCTAGGAGCTCCCTAGGTCCTGTCTACCACTCAGCAATCAGGAAGGGAATCCTCAGTCGGACCAGGCCCTTACTGATTTCTGACATCCTTCTGGTCTCCTGCAGATGACGATGCCTTTGAACCCGTGGAGGCCAGCCTGTCAACCCCAAGGGACAGTGGCATTGAAGGTGCATTGCCCAGGCACTTGGATCATCCGCTGCCTCCTGCAGAGACCTCCTTAGCAGATCTGGAAGATTCCACAGACAGTAGCAGTGTCCTGCTGGTGCCTTCTGATCCTGCCCAGAGCGGGAGCACCCCAGCTCCAGAAGCACCACCAGGTGGTGGGCGCCACCCCTGTGGCTCCCTCAATACTGTGGTTTAGGTGGCTCAGCTCATGGCCCCAGTGGGCTAGGAGTATCTGTTTCCTGTTCAGAAGACACCTATCCCAGTGGGAGACTTGCAGGGGTCCTGTCGTAGCCTGGAACTCCTCCACTGCCACATCCCACCAGCAGCGGCTGTGTACATAGAAACTGAAGCCAGGCACCCTGACAGGAGCAAGTGCCTGTGCCGTCTTTATCGGAGGGCTTCTCAGATGTGAAAAGCTTCGGGTCAGTCTCACTTTTAAATGGCAGAGTGGCACAGGTGTTCAAACCACACATTTCCAAGAGAGCAGAGGCAGTGGGCCGTACTCACACCAATACATCTTTGGATGGGCTTGTTTACTGCACTCTCGCCTACAGAAGCCAGTCATCAACCAGTGACCACACCAGTGTAGACAGCAGGGCATCTGGGGACTGCTTCCAGGGAAGGCGTGTGCAGCTGCTGCACTGGCTCTCTGGGGCATCCTGTCTGGGCCCAAATGCAGGTATCGAGGTGCCAGTCCCGGGGAGAAAATTGAACTTGCCGCCCATTTCTAGCTTTGCTTTGAGGCCAGCACCGTGGCAGCACTCTCCATGGCATAGCTCTGCATGGCTCCCCCAGGAGTAGACTCTAGACCCCTGTGGAGGGTTGGGCATGCTGGCTTTTCTCTGCCACACTCTGGATCCCTGTGCTCTGCCTGCTGGTGAACGACCTTTGGGTCTAGACGGCCAACCCTTCACCTTGTCTGTGCCATAAAGGGTTGGTGGGTGGGAAGAGAATTGACTCAAGTAGACACCCTGTGTTGAGTCATCTGAGTCCACGTCACCTGTGACCACTGCTGGAGCCCAGCATCTGCTGGCCACACACATGCCTCCCAGCTGCTCCACAGCACTGGGCACCTGGGGCTTTTTGCCCAAAGGACCCTGCTGCCAACTCCACACAGTGGTCTTGTCTCCCGACACAGGCCTTTAGCATTTCTAAGGTTTGGAGATTAAGCAAGGTTCTGTGCAATTTTTAGCACATATGTATCTTTTCTATGTTGGATGTCAGGATCTTTCTGTATCTATGTGTGTCCTCATATGGCCAAAAGTTTGCAGGTGATGATGGTCCACGGGAGCTCAGGACGGCCCCGTTACCCCACATGAGCCATTTGCCCTTGGGCTACTCTTAGACTGTTGTGTCTGAGCTGCTTCCTATGCCGTGGTCCAGCTAAGAACATGAGCGGGAGAAGTGACTAAGACTCCAGCTCTTTGGTGCTTGATCAGACGTGCACAGGTCTAGGCACATTTTTACACTGCTTGGAAACCTGTTTCCCTTCCCATATGGAGCATCTTTAGGCTGGATCCCCAGGGCTGACTGGAGGTATGAGATTTGTCCCTAGATAGTCTGTCTCAAGCTGAGCCCACAGGCTAGCTGCTGCAGACATCCCTCTGCCAAAGGGCTTTCGCCTCCTCCACCCACGACGAGAAGAGCAGGAAGTTCATCATACCTCCAGCAAGTACTGAGTGCTGGGCACAGGCAGCCCCGCTCCAGAGCAACAGTGGGGTTTGCCTTGTGCCAGACCATCCAGAAGAGTCCTGAGGACCACACAGCAGTGCCTCAGAAGGCCATATGTACAGACTGAAATTCTCTGGGGACCAAGTGACTGTTGGGGTTGGCCAGGGCCTGAGTCTAGGAGGCAGAGGTGAAGAGGGTGGCCTGAGGGGGACCATGGTGCTGCTGAGGTGGACCTGACAGGCTGTCCCGGGCTGTCCAGCAGGCACTTGGGGAACATGTGGCCTGTATTGGGGGCTGTTCAGACTGTTGCTGTTGTAGTTCCAAGTAAAGGGGTCTGCCACCCTCTCCAGGTCTTGGGTGAGTAATCGCAGATCCGGGATTTGCTAAGGTTTGTGTTTTCTTGCCCATCCCACAAGGCCCCAGAGGGACAGGCCAAGCTGCCGGGAGTCCCCTTTCCCAGGACTGCCTTGCCGCTCTTCTGAGAGGCTGGGTGCCCTCTGACCTGCCTTGAAGTGGAATTTGATACTGTACATTGTCTCAATGCCTGTTTTTACATACTCCTTTCACTAAAGGTTTTAGTTTGGGTGTATTTTTGGTCGGGTTGGCATTAATCCTTTCTTAAGATGCTGTGAGAACCATTTCATCCAATGCCAAATAAACTTGTGTTATGGAAAAGGCATGGTCAGTCCTTGCTGCGGCCCAGCCCAATAGCCAGGGCTCTCCTAAGGTTTCAGCCCTTGCAGGCATCCAGCTGGCTTCTGACACCCTTTAGTTGAGGACCAGACAGCTAGGCTTGGAGTCTCTGTGCAGGGTACATGGCAGGCCACCCTGTGCTCCCTCTGAAGTGTTGCTAGAGTGACAGGCAGGCTGCTGTATCCTCTAGTTACTGGTGACCAGTGTGAGATAGGCCGAGCAGGGAAGGGCATGCAGTTTAGTTAGTCTCTAGTCATTCAGGTCGAGTAAGCAGCACCTTCCAGCAGAGCAGCCCTAGGTTCTCAGAGGGTGGGTGGGGCTGGCTACCTACACCCAGGGTGGGCTGGACCATGCCTCCCTACAGAGGCTGGAGAAGTTTGGATCCTCTGGGAAGATTCTCATCTATAAAATTATTGGGTGAGCTGGGCAGTGGTGGCACACACCTCTAATCCCAGCACTCAGGAGGCAGAGGCAGGTGGATCTCTGTGAGTTCAAGGCCAGCCTGGTCTACAGAGTGAGTGCCAGGACAGGCTCCAAAGCTACAGAGAAACCCTGTCTCAACCAAAAAAAAAAAAATTATTGGGTGGTCTTGTCTTTCCAGAAGTCCCAAAGTGCTACAGACTAACAGGGCCTGTTGACTTGGGCTGGGCTCCCTCCTGAAAAGGGGGGGGGGGGGGTTGCACTGGGGTGAGGAGCAGAGGAAACGTGGCAGCCTCCAGATGCTGTGTTTACTGCCATCGCTTCTGTGGGGCAACGGGGTTCTTGATAGTAATTTCTGGAAGGAATCCTTAAGCTTACCTTCCTTTTAAAACATTTTATTAATTTTGTTTGTTTTTTTAGACTATGCATAGTGTTGCCTGTCCTGGAACTCAGTATTGTAGACCAGGCTGACCTCAAACTCAGAGATCCACCTTCCTCTGCCTCCTGAGTGCTGGGATTAAAGGTGTGCACTACCATGCCTAGCACAGTATTTTAATTTTTATAGTTTGTGTGTGTGTGTCTGAATGTTTATATGCACCACATGCATGCAGGAGCCCTCGGTGGTCAGAACTCGGGAACGAGGGTAAAGCTAGGATCAAGCTCGTTGTCGTCCTAACAGCCTTCCGAGCTAGCTGGGAAGGGCGGTGACAGAATAGGCTCAGGGTCAGGAAAGAACTGCTGAGGCCTTTGAGAGGGATCGGGGAGCTCGGATCCCTCAACACGTCTGAAGCAGGGGTCTCTGGGTCACCATTTCCTCCTGGGAAGAACGCTCCTCCAGCAATTGCTGAGGGTAAATCCGGGGACACGTGCTAAGCAAGTGCTTTTCCACTGTGCTCCTTGGGCTATGGCAAAGAGATGCTGAGTACTGGAATGCCCGGAGGGACAGGCTTCCAGCCCACTCCCTGGTAGTCATGGTTAGGCCAAATCTACTCACACCTACAGACACATGGTGTCCAAGTGCAGAACTGTCAAGTGATCATTTGACACACAGGGAAGCCAAAGAGTTATAGACACTTCATTCTGACTGCCTGGGACTTGGGCAAAGGGGCTTGAGCTAATGCAATGTCCCCACCACAGAAGGGCTACAGCTTCTTCCAAGACCTGTTAGTAGGATAGTCCTCAGCCAGGTGCATCTGTAGGAAGGCAGCTGTGGACCTGGACTTGGGATGGGTTGGAGTCTCGAGTTTGTAGCAAGGCAAGAAACATCCACACCTCCCCTCCTCAGCCTCCTAAGTCTTGGTCACTAGGATCCCAAGTGCCCTCACCACTTGAACTAATTTCTTTGATGGTGGCTTTGGCATGTCCCCCCAGGTCTCTGTCCCCCATTTCCTCTGCTGTGAGAATAATCGGGCACCCTTCAGAATTAATGCTAACCATTACACTGGCTGCAGCAGCCCTGGACCAGCTCCAGCCCACCTCTTCCTAATGGCCCTACCTGAGCCCCACCCACTCTGGCCCTCTGTGGCCCCGCCCCAGCATGTCCACAGGATACTTATCCACACCTCTTGTTCACCAGCCAATGAATGAGTAGCCCTCTGAGTAGCCTGGCCACACGTTTCTTATCCAGTTTGCAGTTCTCCAGAGTCCCAACCACTGCTGCATCATGTGGGCCCTGGGCTTTCTGCTCCACTTCCTCGCCATGCAACCAGTGGCACAGGTGGACTCCACGGGTAAGCACCAAGGCTCTGCCTGTGTGATCTTAGATCTACCCGACACGGCTTACCCACTAGTTGTGGGGCAAGTTTGGGAGGAGATGCAGGGACAGGAACAACCTCTCCTGGCTAGCCTGGCCCTGTTCTGGACTGGGGCCAGGATGAAACTTTAAAGGGCATATGGTGGTTCTCAGCTCTGCCCCTGCCTCCTGTCTGTAGGTACCTGGTGCTACGACTCACAAGACCCAGAGTGTGGTGAGGACAGTTGTAACAGGCTGTGTGGATCTGTCTGGTCTCTGCCAGCTCCTGTGCTCCGAAGGACTGGGCACCAGGCAGCAGGCATGCTGTGATCACGTGTGTCTGCTGTCATCCATGGTCAGGGTCTGTGAGCCTATGGGTGTGGCCAGGGGTGGTCCCCAGCATGAGTATGCAGCCATGTCTCAGATCCATCTACCCTGTCTATGGGGCAGTCTGTCTGCAGACTTGGTGGCTAAGTCAGATGGGTCTAGAGAGCAACTGTGACCAGGTATAGTGGGAGGATGGAGGTGAGCCATTCCTCAGCCAGCGATGTTTGGGTTAAGGGATCTACCCTCAGTGCACTCCCAGACAGCCTCCTTGACCCTGCTGCAGACTCCAGCCCTTGTTTCCTCAGGCCCTACCCACTGGAAGGAGCTAGCACCTGCTTGTGGGGGCCCAGCCCAATCCCCTATCAACATTGACCTTGGTTTGGTCCAGCGGGACTACACTCTTGAGCCGTTCATCTTTCAAGGCTATGATACAGCACCTCTAGACCCTTGGACCCTGGAGAACAATGGCCATACAGGTCAGCATCATAAGGGCAAGACCAGTACACAGAGGCAAGAAGTCCACACAGCTTACAGGAAGCTCATCCACACACAGGGATCAGGACACACAAAGCTGAGGAAGCAACTTCCCCAAAGAGCTCACTGCTCCCACCCCACCCACACATACACAAATGGACAAAGAAATGAGAACGGGACACACATAGGAATCCAAACCCTCGGGAACCAAGCAGAGGAGGCTCTACACACATTGTAGTTGACAGGAACCTCCCTATAAATGAAATTAGCCATGCCCGAGGCCAATCAGTGCACACCTAGAAGTCAAGATGCTGGAGAGAAATCAAGGCCCTCAGCCGCACTGCTGGGGCCAGTTTGATTCCCACAGCAGGGGAGTGTGCTGGGGTGGGGGGCTGCGGGGGGGGGGGGGTGCTGGCAATGGGCTCTCTTACGCTCCCCCCTCTTCAGTGCTATTGCAAGTAAGTTCTGGTCAGCAGAGCTGCCCAGTGATCCGAGGGGCTGGGCTGCCATCGCCAGGGTACCGGCTACTGCAGCTGCACTTCCACTGGGGCAGCCCAGGGCACAAAGGCTCAGAGCACAGCCTGGACGAGAAGCATGGCTCTATGGAGGTGGGTTCAGGGTGGACCAGAGAAGACGGGCAGAGGGAGCAGAGGGCAGCTGGACACCATCTGTGTGCTCTATTCCCTAGATGCACATGGTCCACATGAGCACAAAGTACCGGGACCTGAGGGAGGCACAAAGCCACCCCGATGGGCTTGCTGTGCTGGCTGTACTGTTGGTGGTGAGGAAGGGGCTGTGTGACTCCATGCTTGTTTCCCGAATGAGGGTCTTGGAGTTGTGTGGAGAGCAGGGGTCTGTTTGGAGTCTGTGGGGATCATGGGGCTTAGGGGATTTTCAGGAGGTGGGGGAGCCAATGGAAAGGAGTGTTGGTGAACATCGTGGGGGGTGACTTTCCTCACTCCACCCACCCCCAGATCTCCCAGACCTTCCACCTGGGCCCTTCCCACTGGTGCCCCAGCTATCCTGTCTCACCTTTGGAAACAAACACACACAGAACCTCAAAGCCCCTCTCACTGGAATTCTCTCCAGGAGGAGGACAGGGACAATACCAATTTCTCTGCCATTGTGTCTGGCCTAAAAAACTTATCTTCGCCTGGTAAGGAGCTGTGGGGTCCCATCTAGGCTGGTTGGTGTGTGGGTAGGGAGCAAGAGCAGGGGAGGTGAGTTCCAGCTTCTCTCCCACCGTCCAGGGGTCTCTGTGAACCTGACATCCACCGTTCCACTGGCCTCCCTGCTACCAAGTGCTGCGGGGCTCTTACGCTTCTACCGATACTCCGGGTCTCTAACCACCCCGGGCTGTGAGCCGGCCGTGCTCTGGACAGTCTTTGAAAACACCATACCCATTGGGCGCGCGCAGGTGGGAGCCACTATCCCTATCCAGTGCCTGGCTCCTTCCACAGCCTCGGTTGCCACCCCTGCCTTCTCTGCCTGTCCCGTCGCGTCTTGACCCATCTTTGCCCGTCCTCAGGTAGCACAGTTCCAGACCATACCCCAGACTGGGCCACCGGGCTTGCACCCCAGACCGCTCGTGGATAATCTCCGCCCCCAGCAACCTCTTGGAGGGCGCAGGGTATCAGCCTCTCCTGGAGCATCCCTCCGGTCATCAGTTTCTACCCTGCCCTGTTTGCACCTGGCTCTTTTGGGTTTGGGAGTCGGCCTGAGGCTCTGGCAGGGCCCCTAGACCCACAGGTGACTCCTGTTTCCACAATAAATGATGCAGACGGACCTTGGCCTAACGTGCCTGGGAAGAGGTGTGTGCCTAGTGGTCAAGGGGATGGTGGGGAGAGAAGCCTGCCCCAACCTCAGTTCAGCCTCAGTGTTCCTGTCCACACAACCGAGAGGCTCCTGAGTGACCGCCTTCTTGTCCACCTCAATCGTAGAAACATCGTCCAAAACCGAGACCCACTTAGATACCCAACTCTGATACCCACCCACAACATGTTATTTTGAACCTCCGGTCAAAGGGAAGGGGGAAAATCAGTGCATCTCAGAAATGCCACCCATACCAGAAATTACATTTTATTTTAAAAACAAGCTGGGTAACCAATTAAGGGGGTTACTGTGCCACATTAAAACGATGACCCTGGTGGTGATCCAAAGCCAGTCCTTAAGAAAAAGCAGCTCCAGCAGAAGGCACTGAGTTGGTTGGTTTGGGTGACAGACAGCAAGTGCTATGCCTGGTGGCACTCTGGGGAATTATTACCCTGAGGAATATTTTCTAGAGAGAAGCTGGTGTTGACGACTGTTGGGAGGGCTAAGTGAAGGGCTGTGTCCTTATAACTGTCCGGGGCTGAGTCCAAGGGATACTGGCAACATGACACTACCGTGGAGGTGGCTAGCAAACTGATGTCCTGTTCATGCGCTGTCTCAGCTCCCTACGTCCCTAAAGTCTGTTAACACAGTGCAGAGTTGACACTATCCTAGTGCATGGAGGTCCTGCCTGCCCCCTAGGACTTTAAAGAAAAAGAAAGTGCAACCATTTGCCTCCGGACTGCAGATCCCTCGGTTCTGCCAGCTCCTCCATGGCAGGAACACTCTGGTCCAGATTCTCCCCCAGCTTCAAGGCCAAAAGCGGCTCTACAGCGAGCGCAGCCTCAGTCCCGGGTGGCGATCACCCATAGCGCAAAGCCATCTACGCAGCCTCAGGCGCCCACCATTTAAATAATGGAGCCTCATTGGCGGCATCTGGGGAGTCTGTAGGATGACCGTCCATCAGCCAATTTGCCCCCTTCTGGGGACACCGGAGCCCCTTAATCTCCTCCGCCTTGCGCAGCCGCTGGAGGCACTGGGGTTTTCTTGTAGTTTTTCCGGGCAGCGGCTCGGTTCGCCAGGCCGTCCGCGGGAGCGTCCGGACCGTTCTCCGCGGCCCTGGAGGCCGAAACCAACGCGTTCACCGTGCCGAGCGCCCGCAGCAGGGCGGGACCGCGGGGCTCACGGCGGGCGGGTGGCGGCGGCGGCGGCGGCGGCGGCGGCTGCGGCGGTGGCAGCAAGGCGCGCAGGGCGTCCAGCTCTGTCCGCAGCTCCGCGCGCAGCGCCTCGAGCCCCGCGCCCAGCTCGGCACGCACGGCCGCCAGCCCCTCCTGCAGCCGCCGCTCGCTCACCTCCAAGACGCCCGCGGGGTAGGTGGCGCCGCCGCGCGGCTCTCCGCACACCGAGCACACCGAGCCGCCGCTGCGAGCCTCGCTCCTCTCGCTGGTCCCCGCCGCCCCGGCTCGCGCGCCCGCGCGTTCCACCACCCGCATCAGCCGCGGCGCCTCGGTCCGGCCCGCCGCCTCGCCCCGCAGCTGGCCACGCAGGCGAGCCAGGCGGCCCGGGGCGCGGACATCTTCGGGGACCGGCCCGTTGGGCTGCGAGCCTGGGTCCAGTCGGCGGCTCACACCTCGCCTCAGCGCCTCTCTAACTCCGTACGCAGTGCGCGCCTGAGTCCACGAACGCCCAGGCTCTGCCGCCATGCGCTGCCACCTGCACTACTCTGTGCCAACCCAGCCGAGAGGGCCTGGGCCCCAGCCTGCAGCCTAGCGACCGCTGGACCCGCGGGAACGCGCTCCTGGGACGTCTGTGGGAACGACCGGGCCTGGGGGAACCCCGGCGGAGCCGGTTCCTAAGTGGCTGGGGCTCCGGGGAGGCCGCGGGTTGGGGGAGGGCTGTGCCAGTAGGCAGGGGCATTTGAAACCTGGCCCAAGGGACCACGTTGTCGGCTGGGGCCCCCACATGGGACTTAGGTTGGCCTCTAGGCAGCGGCCATAGCACATGGCGCAATGACTGCACAGACACCTTAAGGCCAGAATCAAAATCCACCTCACATCCTCTCATGTCCTGGCCACAGCAGGGGAAGGCTGGGCTGGACAAGAATCAACCTCCTTCAACTCACAATCCAGGTGCGTGTGCGTTTGCGTGTGTCTTGTAAGCTAGCCAACCACTCTACCTGCGCTACATCCCCAACCCAAGCCGCTCTTTCTCTTGTGTCTCCCACAGTCCATACTCAGCCACAAGACTCCATCCTTGTGACTGGCATCGCCAACCCCAAGCTCTTGCCCCTCTCCCCAACCTTCTGAGAGACTTCCTGACCCTAGCATGTGCCCATCCCTCGGAGACCACTGGGCCCCAGTCCATCTCATACCCTGTCCTGCCCATATCCTGTTTAACCTAACCAAACAACCTAGCCAGCCCTGTGGGCCTTTACTGTGGACAGTTTTGGCTTATCCCACTGGACGGGGAGCCTTCCTTGACCACCCAAGCCTCCCAACTAGTAACAGAAGCCTCGACCACAAGCAAGTCACTTTCACAACATTTGAGGGGGTAGGGGTCGAAACAGGGGTTCTCTGTGTAGCCCTGGCTGTCCTGGAACTCGTCCTGTAGACCAGGCTAGCCTGGAACTCACAGAGATTCTCCTGCCTCTGCCTCCCGAGTGCTAGGATTAAAGGCGTGCGCCACCACCACCCGGCCATTTTGGGTTTTTTTTAAACCGGGTCTCGTTGTAGCTAACGCTGGTCTCCTACTCCCTAGGGAGCCAAGAATGACTTCGGATTCCTGATCCGCCTGCCTCTTGAGTGCCAGGATTACATGTGTGTGTCACTATGCCCAGTTTATGCGGTCAGTACTAGGACAAACCCAGGACTTCATTCCTGCCGAGGAACCACTGAACTGAGATACATCTCCAGCTGATTTCGGTTCTTGTTTAGTTAGTTTTTTTAAGATTTATTTTTATTATTTCATATGTGCATGTGTGTCACCTGAGGAGGTGGCGCATCCACGTGGATGCTGGGAATCAGGAACCGAACCCAAGTCCTTCACAGCAGGTGCCTTTAACCACTGAGCCAACTCTCCAGCGCATTTTTGTTTGGTTTTGAGACAAGGACTTGCTGTGTTGCCCAAACTGGTCTTGAACTCCTGTCCTCAGGTCTCCTGCCTCAGCCTCTGGGGCAGCTGGCACTGCAGGCACACACCGTTGCATCTGGCGATAGTGACTTTAGATGACTCCCTGCCCTCCACGGGGAGGTGTCGGAGCCCACGGCCTTCTGCGCTGAGTCTGGCACTGGGCTAGGTCCTTTGTGTCGCTAACCGAGCTGAATGTTTGATAAAGGAATAAAATATATGGATGCTCAGAGTTGAGCTAGGAGCCCAGCTGACCCCTCCCACTCACCCTGGCCAAGTCCCTGCCCTTGCTAGCCTTTCATTTCAGGTTATCCTTATTACCCTTTCGCTCTTGGTGGAACCTCTCACTACTGCCCTGGTTCTTTCCCAACCTCTGTGCAAATTGAGCTGTGCTTGTGTGTGGCACAGTGGGCTATATATCCCTCTAGTGGGCAGCATCTCTCCACCGGTCCTTCTCATTGTACCCCTGGGGCCTTGTTAGCACTGTGGGTGCTCTGTGCCTTGGGACCTAAAAGAAAATTGTAAGGAGGGAGGGCTCTGCCTGGATCCAGCAGTGCTGGAAGGAGACATGGTCTGTGTGCCCAGCCACTGTGCACCTCTGTGTCTGCCCATGTGCAGAGAGGCTAGCCTCTGCACCTCTGTGTCTGCCCACGTGTGAAGAGGCTAGCCCCTGCACCTCTGTGTCTGCCCATGTGTAGAGAGGCTAGCCCCTGCACCTCTGTGTCTGGCCATGTGCGGAGAGGCTAGCCCCTGCACCTCTGTGTCTGCCCGTGTGCAGAGAGGCTAGCCTCTGCACCTCTCCTCTGTGTCTGCCCACGTGTGGAGAGGCTAGCCTCTGCACCTCTGTTTCTGCACACGTGTATGTATGTGGGGTAGGGGTGGGGGGTTGCTGTCTACTGTTTGTGGGCAGCCAGGTAGAGGGCCACTGTTTCCCCTCTAGTTCATTAATCTCACCAGGAGATGAGAATGTGGTACTCGGCCTCTTAGATTTCCCCTGTTCTTGCTGAGTCCCCTGTCCCCCTGGGACCACCTGTATTTGGCCCAGATGAATTCTAGAGCTCATTAACCATGCCCCTCCCCAAATCCCTAATTAAAATGCTGCTGACTAAAAAGCCCTGAATTCCTGCCCTAGGCCTGTTCTCCAGGCTGTGTGGCCAGAGGGACTCTACCCTCTCTGAGCCAAGTCTGCACCCAGGAAGTCTAGCAGCTGGGAGGGTGACAGAGTGACAGGGGCTCTGAGCTTGCAGACCAGCGGTGGGGATGTTAGAGGCAGGAGGGGCCTGTGCAGAGAGGCAGACAATTTAGTGTCTCTGTATTAGACTCAGGATGGTATGAATTAGCTGAGCTTCATGATGAGTCTCTGCAGACAGCTCCAGGTTGTCCCTTGTTAAGACTGCAGATGTGGGGTCTGATGCTTGTGGCAGAGGCTGGGGAGGGGAGGCGGGGTCCAGAGCGGAGCTGCAGCACAGACAGGTGAAGGGCAAGTGTGAGCTCAGGAAGAGACGGCAGGACCGTGGCTGCTGTGCCTGTCTCACACGGGCAAGGCCCTGGGATCTTGCCCCAGCAGAAGCTGGGGTGGAAGAACAGACAACCCTGACCCAGATGGCTACTCAGAGAGGTGTCCCCTTCAAAAGAAGAAGATGGCTGAAATGCAGGGCCAGAGCTGGAGGGCACGGAACAAGGGAAGAAAGGAGGCTAGCCTCTGCCCCTCCTGGGGGCTTCTCAGAGCTGGTCAGCCCTTAGCTCCCAGCATAGAAGTGCTGGCTCAGACCAGGCCTAGCCCAGGCACTGTGGCATGGGGAGCCTGGCTGCAGGGTTGTCCCCATCTGACCCTAATCTAGCCCTGTGCATCCAGGTGGGACCTCCTGAAAGGGCAGTCAGTGACCATACCACTCATTAATTCATGAACAAGGTGGGTGGGTTGGAACACCTGGAGCTCCAGGCAGGGATCGAGATGGGGCAGTCCTTTTGTGTGACTTGAATGTCGTCACCATTGACACGGTTGCACTCTGGTGCCATTAAGCCCTGGCAGTCACCATGATAGGGCTTATTTCCCAGAGCCAGAGGGCATTTGGGAGCCAGGAGAGCATTCAGCCATGTTGGAGGGGCTCTGGGAGCTTCAGAGGGAAGGGAGTTGTGGGAACTACTGGAGGATGGGCAGCCGGCCTCACAGTCCTTAGGGGGAGTGTCAGGGCACAAGTGCCCCCAAAGCCCAGGCCTTGTGCTGTGGAGCTCCATCTTCCCCAGATGTCCTGCCAAGTTCAAGCTGGCCTAGCTCTGGGTGAAGTAGCAGCAAGCAGAGTCCTTGAAGGTGCCTGGCTGGGTGGAGGCGGACTGGTGACAGCTGTCTGTGCAGCCCCAGAGCCTGGCACTGCCTCCTGAAAGTGGTGGGGGTACCAGAGGGAGTGACGAGAGCTGGGGGGAGCAGATCAGAGCCCCAGCTCCCGCACCGACCTCCAGTGGCCCTGTTACCAGAGTTTCTAGGAGACAAGCCGGGCCTTGGCAGCGCTAACAAGCTCATTCTCAACAGACAAAGTGACAATATTGAGAAGCAGAGAAATGGGATGTATCAAGTGTGCTGACATTGAGAACAAATTGTGACATCCGCCCCCCCACAGGCCATCTCTGGTAGGCTTGGGTTAATGGAGAACAGGGAGTACATATAGCTAAGCCATCCTGGCTAGTGTGGCCCTGGGCATCACCGACCTGTTCTGCTCTTCAGTCCAAGGCCATCTGACAAGTTGTCGGTACGTTGAGAAATCTCTTTCTGGAAGAAAAGCTCCCCGCTGCCTGACACCAGGCTTTCCTTTCCTCCGTCATAAAATTTCTGTAAAATTCTAATTCTTTGTTTAATTGTCTAATGGCCAAGTGAGACAGATGCAGACACCTCTTAGAATGTCTGAGCTCCTGCCAGGGCGGATACAGATCCTGTTGCCTGACCTTGGTTTCCCCACCTGTCCGAGCTCCGGGAGGGTCTATGCTGCCAGAAAGAGGTGAGGGCCACAGGGGCAAGAGGGAAGAACGGATCTGTGCTCACACAGAAGCCAGGTGTGAGACCTCGGGACTTGGGGGATGTTTCCAGAGTGGAAGAGACCAGGGTCCCGCCTGAGGGTCACTGCATGGTCCAGCGCTCTCTTCCATGGGGCTGATCTTGGGCATATCTTACCCTGAACACCCCTGGTTCTGGACACAGAGGTTTTCTGAGAACTGTACTGAGGCAGGTGACTCTGCAGGGGGCAAATTCATTACTCAGTAATGACCTTGTCTGACCTCCTAATGAGCTCATTACCTGGTAATGGCTTTGTTTGCCCAGGCTTTGGCGTCAGCAGCCTCCCAGGGCCCTGGAATATCTGGCCCGAGGTGGCTTTGAGCATCCTAGGCCTTGGGCCTTAACCCCTGTGACCTGTCTAGGACAGAGATGGGAATGGACCCACCAGCATGTGTGGCTCAGCAGCCTCAGCCCCAACTGCCTGTCCCTTCCCTAGTGAACAGCCTGGGTGGAAAAGGCCTTTACCCCACACCGCTTCAAGTGGTCACAATCCTTTGCCTGAACCTTCCTTGGTCCATCTGTGAACTTCCTTCTGGGTTCCAGCTTTAGGATGAACTCTGAGCCTTGCATGTGACTCATGTCTGTAATCCAAGAATTTGGGAAGCTGAAACTGGAGGATTGTGGGTTCAAGGCCAGTCTGTACTATAACATGAGTTCCAGGACAGCCTGGGCTAAAGAGTGAGACCCTGCCTTGGAAAACACAAACCAAAAAGAAACTGTGCTAAGTCAGTTTAGCAAGGGCCAGTATCTACCCACCTCAGCCCCCACGGTGACCCAGATGATCTGGTGGTCGGGCCATCTTCAACAGGGATCCCCTTGTTTCCCCTTTTAATGTCTCATCATGGCCCCTCCCTGCGCTCGACAAATTCCCACTGGTCATTCTGTGTTCAGAGCTGAGTCCCGTCTCTTCTTCCCACAGCAGAACCTCCACAGCGCCTGTCTCTACCCAGATGG